TATATATATATATATATATATATATATATATATATATATATATATATCCTGGGTGTCCCATTTTAAATTACGCACCCGAATATTTCGTCAAGGAAGCCACCAATCCGAAAATAACCCTTACAAGAGTTGTTGGGTTAGGAAGAGGACATCGGATAGTGATTTTAAATTTCACCTTGATCTTAACCTTTCAGGTCATTTGAAGGTCAAATCTTAAAAAACAAACCATGATCAATGTTGATTTTCAGGTCATGATAGACTTGTCAGCGGTTCGACCTTGAAATGATCTTTAAAGGTCATTTCGACTCTTAACGTAACTTTAAAGTTTCTATTTAAAAAATTAGATTTGACCTTCAAATGACCTTGAAGGTCAAGGTCAAGATGAAATCGAAGATCACCATCCGATGTCTCCCTTCGAACCCAACAACTTTTGTAAGGGTGATTTGGATTGGTGGCTCCCCGACAAGATATGTATTCAAGTGCGTAACTTCAAATATTTTGTCCTTGAAATAACCTCTGAAGGTCATTCCAAAGAAGAACCTCAAGTACCCATCTAAACGTAAAATTTCGCGCTCTTTCCGAATCCGGAGTCAAAAATAGCGGTTTCTATTTAAAAATTCGATTTCATCTTCAAATGACCTTGAAGGTCAAGGTCAAGGTGAAATTGAAAATCACCATCCGATGTCCCCCTCCGAACCCAACAACTTTTGTAAGGGTTATTTTCGGATTGGTGGCTCCCCTGACGAGATATTCAGGTGCATAATTCAAAATGGGACACCCTGTATACCAGATATATACCTATGAAATGCGGATTTTCCTAACAGATGGTGCTACACATACGTTTTTACACGTGGTGATTTAACATATATAGTATTTTGTTTGGCTATTTCTAACCTACAAAACCATACATATAAAAAATTGTGAGAGCGTAAGAATCATAGACTTTTTCTGCTTTGAAAATGTCGAATTTCGTACCAAAAAAGACCATTTGCGGAAGGTTTTGATTAATTACTTGATTTTGAAGAAAACTGCAGCACTAACTTATCGAATACTTGTAGAAACTTACGGCGAACATACACCATCTCAAGACACTTATGAACGCTGGTTCATTTGATTCAAAACTGGTGATTTTTATGTAAAAGACAAGGCTAAGGGTAAATCACCGAAAAAAATCTGAAGATGCAGTGTTGTAAGCATTGTTGGACGAAGACTGCACTCAAACTCAATCACAATTGGAAGTATTAAATGTGACAAAAAAGTGTTAGCAAGCGTTTGCACGCGATGGGAAAGATTCAAAGAGAAGGAAAATGGGTACCACACGATTTGAAAGACAGATGGAGAATCGAAAAGTCACCAGCGAACTCCTGCTGAAAAGACATCAACGGAAGAGTTTTCTGTATCGAATCGTTACAGGTGATGAAAAATTGATATATTTCGAGAATCACAAACGAAGGAAATCATAGGTTGATCCAGGCCAACCATCAACATCGACTGCAAGACCAAATTGCTTCGGAAAGAAGATAACGCTCTGTGTTTGGTTGGATCAAAAGGGTGTTGTTTATTATGAACTTTTCAAATCTGGTAAAATGGTTAATGCTGCTCGCTACCGACTACAAATGATCAATCTGAACCATGCATTGATCACAAAACGTCCGGAATGGGCCCAAAGACATGGAAAAGTGATTTTGCTACATGACAATGCGCCGGTCTACACCACAAATGTTATTAAGGAAACTTTAAAAGAATTGAATTGGGATGTGCTACTTCACCCGCCGTAATCGCCGGATATTGCTTCTTCGGACTATTACTTGTTCCGGTCGATGACGCACGGATTGGCTGAGCAGCACTTCGTTAATTTCGAAGAAGTGAAAAAAATAGGTCGATTCATGGTTTGCTTCGAAAGATGAATGTTTCTATCGTCGCGGAATTCATCTTTTGCCAGAAAAATGGGAAAAAGTTGTAGCGTCCAATGGCGCATACTTCAAATAAATAGCTTTAACCGTTCACTTCAAATTAACATGTGTTTTTCCTTAAAAAAATCCGCATTTTATAGGTACACACCTGGTATATACATAAAGAGAGAGGAAAAATAATGAAAATCTATATTCAAAATATTATTGAAATATAAAAATATCTAAGTATCTAAATATTTTATATAATATTTATTGTAAACAAAAAATTAATATTTTGTAAATATTTCTATAAATATTGCACATGAAAAAAATAAATATAATTACTTATAATTATTAAATTAATAAAGTGTAACGTCTCCTCTTTCTATCGTCAAATTTCGCTCGCTGGAGTCCGGGTTCGCGTGAGGGAAGATGAGAGAGAAAGCGCGGTTGATATTTACAACTTAGATTTATTCAGGATGTCTGAAAGAAATGTTATGTACAAAGAAATATTTACAGTGTGTATAGACGCTATAGCCGTGGTGCAGAAGGCACGACTACAGCACGCAGAGTAATGGTTGCGAGGGCAAAGTGCCCGAACGCGAGGAAATGTGATCGCGTCGACACGCGGTTCTCCAGGAGTTAAGAACGACGATCGATTGAATCGGCAACACGGTCGTCGCGGTTGGGGACGATGTTCCCCAGGAGTCAGGAGTGACGATCGATTGAATCGGCAACACAGTCGTCGAGGGTGCAAAAAAGAGGACGATGATTGAATCGGTAACACGCTCGTCCTACAGGATGGGAACGGTGGCGGTTGAATCGGCAACTCGTCACCAGGAGGGCTTCGTCAGGGATATTCTCCCTAACTGATCTCGGATGAGACCGGTCAACGACTCTCGCTGGTAGCGGCTGAGTATCCTTTTTATATCGTGTCGGCTCGCAAAATTTAACCGCGAGAAGAGGCCGCGGTATTCGGCCGGCGCCACGTAGCGGCGCCGTACCGAGTTAGCGCACGCCGAGGCTCGTTGTGACTGGCGCCGCCGGGGAAATGGGGGGAGGTTTGACGCTAGCAGCAGTTAGACGCGAGGATATATATATATATATATATATATATATATATATTTGTCTCGGCGTAACAATGGTAAACTATATACACGTAGTGATGATATAACTTCTATAAACTATATACACTATTTAAAAAAAACTATACAAACTATATAAACTATATAAACTATGGGAACTATACAAATTATATAAACTATAACAACATATACTCCATATAAATAATATATTACAACTCAACTAATACGAAACGGTAGCGGGTCAGGTGTCTTGTTACAAAAGAAATAAGAAAATCGAAATTTAAATTGGTAATGTACATTAGAAAATAATTCTTTAAATGAAAGAAATATATTTTGTTACATATAATTTCGTAACTTAAAAAATATTTGTTAAATTTTAGAAAGTATATAATAAATATAAAGAAATATTTTTTTAAATTTGTAAAATAAGCTGTAAAATTATGAATTTATAAATAAAAAAAGTGATTTATTTGATTTAAAATATCTATATATATAAGAATAAACAAATGATTTCTTTACAAGGAGAAAATTAGTATTTTTAAATGCTAAAAACTGTTTAAATAAATATTTGCTTGTTTTAAAAGTAAATAAAATACAAGTAAATCATTTTATAGTAGTAATAATGGTGGAGAAGGTGGGCACTTTGATGCCCTTGATCAAAGTTCACCTAGATTAAAAGTTTCACATTGCGACTTCCTGCTATTTTTTTTTTTTTTTTTTTTT